CTGACTAATTTGGTCGTGTATTCTCTAGGATACAGATGGGATCTTATAGGAACCTATCAGATTATCAAAGGGCATGATAGCGCAGATTGTGGGAGATTGTTTCCCCTGTTTGGGGATACTAAAACCAGGGATCACAACCTTAAAATCGGTGGCCAGCCCTTTCGCACTAATTTAAGGAAGAACTTCTTCACTCAAAGGTTGGTGAATGTATGGAACTTACTACCCCAATGGCCTGTTGACGCTTAGTGCTTGAACATATTTAAGACTGAGATAGATAGATTTCTTCTTGCAAAATGTATTAAGGGATATGTCGATAAGGCAGGGTTAAGTTATCAGCTGGAGTAAGATTAGAAGATCAGCCATGATGGAATGGTGGGGCAGACTCGAAGGGCCGGATGGCCTACTCCTGCTCCGACATGTTATGTTATATTACGGCTCGTTTAGTAAATGCAGGTAACTCTGTCCTTTGAGATCCTGGAGGAAATTGGTTTCTTTAGTCACAGTATCTGTCATGTCAAAATATGATCACATTGACAAAGGGTTTTATTCCCAAATTTGGCCCAACTTTAAGAGGACGTCTGGATTTCCTCGAAGGTCCTCTTGTTGTGCGCTTAATGATTCTTCACTGAGCTACGTCCCCGCCAACATCTGAGTACAGCTCAGAGATTACAATCAGCATAAGTCTCCTGTCAATTAATGTATATACAAAACTGAAATTTTGTTAACCAGGTTCTTCTTTCACCTGATGGCATTCTCTCACAGATTGTTCTTAGGCATTAATCAACACAATCCCACTGATGGTTGGTTGCTTCTCGGGGAGAAAAACAGCAGAATGACCCCTGCAATTGTGCATAAATGAATTGGAACTTTCCAGTTTTAAGTCACAATAACAATATGTTTGTATTAATATAGCTGACGCGGACGGGTCAAACCGGTCCACATAGCCGAAGAGGCTTTAAAACCCAATTGAATCCACAGAGAAGTATGGGTAACTATTGGGAACGAAATACTCAATCGGCCCTCTAGAAACAGAGACAGAGACTTGTTGACAAGGAAATAGATCCAAGTTGTAACGTCCCCGATATCAGAATTTTGGAGCACAGTGGCTGAAGTCATGTCCACCTGTGGTGGAGAGGATGTACGAGGGATGAATACAAGGCTGGAGATAGTCGAGCGGAGGCAGTGGGTGGTGGTGTTGGGTTGAAGAAATTGGATTCCTGCGAGAGCATGAAGTGACAACCAGCTTTGCATCTTGTCATCATACTGTGACAGTAACAGCAGAAGAACCAGGATTTTTTCATGTTCTGGTATTCAGGAAGGCACCGCTGGGATTTGAATCAAACATCGCCAGTTTACGAGACAGGCGCTTTGCCACNAAAAAACATTGTTTGAACATTTAAACCGCGGCTTTCATTTGGAAGCACTTCTCAAAAACATTTATGTCACAAGACTGAAAGATGGCATTCTGCACAACAGTTGATTACGTGAGCTGCTGCTTTAGTTCATTTCATATGTTTTCATGTCCTATAAATCGAAAACATCATCAACGTTTTTGATAGATGGAAAATTCTTCCGTTAAAAAAGAGCTTGAGCTGTCTTTATTCAAAATAACCACAACTTAAACTCGGTATAGAAATTTTTAACTCGAACTTAAAATTTCAACGTGTCAGCCCATGACGTGGTATACATAATTGGAGGTTATAATTGTTGATGTTGGAAACTAAACTTATAAGATGAACTAAAGAACATTTTAAAGTAGCTCCAGTCGTGCAATAGTTTATTCCGCGGTATTTATATGACAATACTGTTTGGAGAAGTGACAAGGTTGTGAGGTCGATCCTCAGCAAGAGCAGTATTTCTCATTGGTTTCTTCCAGTTGCATCACTGGACCCAATGGTAGTCGCAGAGTAATTATTGTTGTGGATTTGTTACGGCCTTGGCCAGTGTGATGATCTACCAAACCCGACATTTGCCAATGTCATCAATTGGAACTGGCGAAATGGACGAATTGCCCGTCAGTCGATGGTGAAAGATTTTTTGCGTGAGATAAACAATCGACTGACCAAAGGAAGTGACATTATTTATTGAGGAACAATATATTGTGACGGAATATTTAAAGCCTCCAGAGATTTTTTTCTCGGTTGATCTCCATCTCCATTTCTACTTCTGAGTTATCAGTTGAGAGAGAAAATAAACACGTTAATATTTATTTTCCCCTGCTATTGATCATAAACCAGAAGCGAATAGCTAGGTATTTAAATGACAATATGCTTTGGTCCAATTGTGTCCAATTGCCACTCAAATTTCCCCCCAAAATGTATAAAACTCGTTGATAGGAACCCGATACGATTTTCATTGCTGAGTTGATAGTTGGAGTGTCATAAGAATGAGCGCAAAAGCATATGTTGTTGATAATACAGCAACTCTTGGCAATCATTTCTGAATCAACAATAATAGTTTATTTAGTCCATGGAGCAAACACAGTAAATGGATATTTAAGCACAATCTTCATCTCTTCTCTAAACTTGCTCTGCGTCACCACATAGATACACGTGTTTGTACAGGAGCTCAAAAATTGAAGCATAAAACCAACCTGTTGGATGGTGAAGCGGGTATTAATGATTTTCTCTTCATAGTTGTAGTTCGAAATTGACCATTTTACCGAATAAACAACGTTTGTCATCCACAGAAGTACGAAACTTCCCGATACAGCGAAGAGCAAAACGATGGATTTTCTCCGTTTCCCCATCTCAGGATCATTGTGTTTATTAGCATTGCTGTCACCTCGGATTCTCCTCCGGGCTCTGTTGGCTATTAATATGTACCTGACCGTCACAGCGTTGATGAGGATAATGAGTACGGATACTATTATTGGATTGAACACACGGATCAACCATTCGTACGCTCTCCAATATGGTGAAGTGTGGTAACTGAGTTTCTGATTGCAATATTTTGGTTTCTTATCATCTGTGTCAAGGGGAACAAAAATAAAATAAACTGGAATGCCCTGCGCACAGCAGAGCAAACATACAGTTGCAATAACCAAACTCGCCGTTTTCACCGAACAATATCTGTTTTTTATTTTCTGACAACAAATGGCGACATAGCGGTCGAAAGTAAAGGCGAGTGTTAACCAAACAGAACATCGAGTGACTGAAACCAGCAGAACGGTTCTGAAGCTGCACACATGAGCATAGTACAAGAAGCTAAAAATATAATAAATGTTATTGATGCGATTCAGTATCACATCAATGATGATAACCATGAGATCCGCCACTGCCATGGCCACCAGATAGAGAGTGACGACAGTAGAGAGACCACACCTTCCCCGGGACAGGATTAAAATCGCCAACGAGTTCACTGAAACAGAAAAAAATAATCGGTTGTTAGCTGAGCAGGTTCGCACATCACAGCTTGAATCAGATTGATGATCACAAGTTCACAGCACATCTTGGGGCAAAGCGTACCTTCCTTTCCTTTCTTCATAGCATAAACCTTATTTTTGTTTGTGTTGTGCGTTTCTGTATATCTGTTACTTTCTCTGATGGCTCCACTAATGTTTTTTTTATTTCACTCTTTCTATCAGTTCTGCTTCTTGGAGTCATGTCATGCGACAGGTATCAGCCACCGGAAGTGAATGAATCGGGATGAGGCTATTGCCAGCGCCGGGATACCATTCCTGGCGCCTTTCCGACATAGAGTTTTACGCCTTGACTTAATTAGAGATGTTCTGCTGATGTGAGATTAGAGGGTTATAATGGCCATTCCAGGAAAAAGGAAAAAGAACCATTTTAAGAAAACATTTCATGACAAATATGTTTTGCCTCCACAACAGGTTCTGAAGTTTGTAGGTTACCATGAAGCTCTGACAACTTACCTGGAACTCCAGTTAGTGCAATGATCGGGTAGTAAATTGCTTCTATCTCATAGATTGCTGGAAAAGCCATGAAGTGGCAGCAGCCAGTGTTTCGCTGGCGAAGAGAGCGACTCTAAGTAACAGACTAAGGCTTTGGGACACCGTGTAATTTATTCAGATGGCAAACCCCCGGGAATCATCCGACCTGCATCATTAGTCACGTCACTCTCAATCCCTGGGTATTAATACAGGGAGGCGTCATCTCTGTTATTTAACAAAGATTGTAAGAAAACACATTTTATTTTAACTTCTGGCATTAAATATACCTGTTTTGAAAACGGATTTGATGAGGATATTCCGATTCGTATTACAGTCGATTTGGAAAAACAGTCATTCTCTGACATTGTTTTGATGGGATAGTGAAAGTCACAAAGTCACAAATCATCTCTAACGGATGATTGTTCCAATCTCGACGCGCAGAGGAAGTTTTCCAGACAGAGCTCCAAATAGCAAACTGTAGGATTTTAGCTGTTGAGGCCCCAGCATTTACCCCAATGCACAGTTCGAGGTCGCCAAACCCTGCGTCTCGCCTGCCTGACCCTTGTGCTCATTGTGATCAGGTTGGCAGAGACACTGCATATTCGTCAGAATCACAGAAATTTCCAAAGGTCGGAGGCATGAGAGGAACACATCGTCTGGTGTGGCAACTCGTAACCATGGTGACGGTTTCCAACACAAATCTAGCCGTACCCCCCCCACCCCACCCCCCGACCCCCCGTATCACCCATTCATAGGTTTCCATCCTCGGGCTCTGTAACTCACAGATACCTGTTACCAAGGTTTACTCACTCCAGGCCAGGCCTCTGCAGTTTAACCAGCTTCTGGAGTCACTGTCTGGCAAACTTCCTGCTGCTTTTTCCAACTGTAGCACCAGGGACAACGACAGGACCGAAGGCAGCCATTCGACTTCAGGTGTCTGTGATGATCCTTCAAGTGTATTCCTGTCAGTGCCATTTCCCCTTCCTTTCCCCAGATGAGTCAATAGCTGGTGTTTAACCATGTGACAAGCCCAGTTTTGAGCTCCATAATTTCGTCAATAGAACAGTAGCGAATTATTTGCCCTCTACTCTGTATTTTTTTTCTCAGGGATGTACCCGTGGGAGGAGGACCACAAACCAACAGCGTCACATGTGAGCAAGAGGTTTCCTTGGATTGAGCCCAGAGTTAACACAGCTGGTCACAAACAGGCCTGGTCAGCCTTGGGCCCGAGCACCACAGAAGCTCATCGCTGGCTTATGAGCCTCCCCCAAACCAGAGGCTCTCTGACGCTGTCTCCCGTCTTTTCTCTTATTCGATGCATCTCCACTCTTCTTCTATTATTGTGTCTGTATGTCTCACTTGGCGTCGAGCTCTGTTTCTGGAACTTTCCTTCTTTCTTTGTCTGCCTATGGTGTCTTTCTGTGTGTTTGTCGATGTGTGTGTCTGTCTGCATGACAGTCTGTATCTGACGTTCAAACGATTCGTTCAAATTGAGCCGCTTCAAGTTTCTGTCATTCAGATGAGAGGATAAATCGAGGTCCCTTCTTCCTGTTCAGAAGGACGTTAAAGATCTCGGATCGCTCTTCAAATCAGTGAATTTGGCTTCCCGGGCAACAGTCTCTCTCTGGCCAACAATCCGCCAGGAAAAATCGTTCACACACTCTGTGTGTGTGTGTGTGTGTGTGTGTGTGTGTGTGTGTGTGTTTGTGTGGATACTGGGCGCGGATGCCTCCTGTGATTCATTCACAAAATGCACAATAACTCATCTTAACCGTCAATGTTTTGAAACGCTTTCGGAGTTTTTGAAGTCGTGATGTGGTGTTAATTCAAGTGAAAAGATTAATAATGTAATATAATGTTGGCTTAATAATCATTGTCATGGACAATCATAATTATTCATTGCAATGATTGATATCTTTAGTAACATTACCAAATAGCGGTGAGTTGGTTGAAATGTGCTGATGTTAAATCCCATTTCGGTTTGTTCCAGATGCAACTGTGAGAATTGTTCCACGGCCGATGCCTCCAGCGGTGAGTAGTGTCGGCCTTATTGGCACTGTTTCCGCCAAATTCAGGTCCTCTGTAGCTCAGCTCATACCCAGTTCCAGCTTAGCTCAGACCATGTGTCAGTTTCGCTCAGGCTTTAAGCAAATTGGCTCAACACAGCTCGGGCTCTGTGTCACTCTGGCTGGGCGGCAGCACTTTCGCCTGAGGTAGAAATTCATGGGCTTAACTCGAACGTCGGTACATTGGGAATATTGAGAAAGAGAAGGGGGAGTCTCCCATTTCCGAGCCGACAAAAAATGTTCGCCCATTGCACAAAAATAATAATAATCCTTACATTCGTCATGGATAACTTACATGAGGAGAATGTCTCAAATAGCTTCACATGACTTACTGCATAGAGAAGTGTCTGTGTGTTTGCAGGACGTTTCTGTGCACAATTTGGTTTCGGCGTTTGTTTACGTTTATAAAGTTCCTACAATTGATAATAAATTTTGTAAAACACTTTGAGCCGTTCTGTCAAGGTGAAAAGCATGTATGTGTTTTCATGTCTGTGTGGCTCTGTGTGTGTCTGTTTCTGTGTGTGTTTCTGTGTGTGTTTCTGTATGTGTGTGTGTGTCTGTGCGCGCGCGCGCGTGCGAGTCTGCACGTCTGTGTCTGAGTGTTTAAATTTTGCATTCAAACAGCGCCATTTGTCTCAGAAGGAATTCTTACATGCAAGGTTTTATCATCACTATTGGCTCTGGTATACTGACGAGGAGATTTGTCCGGGTTCAATTCTCCATTGCAGGAATGTTGGCATCCGTATGACCATTGGGGCTGTTGGTGGAGGGTGGACTCACATTTTGGAGCTGTGAGTCCGGGTGTCCTGTGTGGTGAGGCTGTGGTGACGGGGATTTTCCACTGATCTTCAGCAGATGTGCTGATTCTTGATCTATTTGCAGGATGCTGGTATCATCTATGCCAATCTCGCCTTAGGAAACAGGAATGAGCAGGACGGTGAAGCCAGTGATGGAGATGGTCCTGTCTACGCCACAGTCAGAGTTTAGTGTGGAGGCCAATGACCACGACTTGCTTTATTTCCTCGCTCTATCAGCTCACCATCCACTATATTCAATTTCACCTTCATTCTGACATCAACGGGGCTCTTACATCACATCTCACGCTAACCCACATAGAGACTGAGTTACAGACTGAGGAATAAGGAGCGAGGGAGTGAATGCGTAAGAGTGAGAGAGTTTGTGAGAGAGAAAGATAAAGGGAGACCGAATGAGAGACAGAGAGACTGAATATGTGAGATGGAGTGAGAGATTGAGGGAGGTACTGAGACTGAGAGAGCAAAGGAGGGACTGAGAGAGAGATTGTGATTGAATGCGACTGAGCGATTGAATGAGAATGAGTGAGATACGGAACGAGAGAGAGAAAGAGAGAGAGAGACAGAGAGATATTGACTGCAAGAACGTCTGATTGCGAGAGAAACTGAGTCAGCGGGAGTGAAAGACTGAGTTAGATAGACTGAGTCAGATGGAAATAAAGAGTGAGATTCTGTGTGTGAGAGGTCGAGAGATTGATTGACGGAGAGTCAGGGTTTGTGAGAGAGAGAATAAACAAGATGGGTTGAGGGTGAATGCTGGAATCAGAAATGTTATTGCGTAATTGAGAGGGTAATTTAGAGGGGAGAGCACGGATAGATTGATACAGGGAGAGTGGGAGAGGGCAGATAAACAGTGCGTACGGGAAAGAGGGGCGAGTGAGTCACAGAAAGAGGAAAACAGGGGTAGGGAGACAGAAATTGAGACGGCGAGAGTGAGATCGTGATTGAGAGATAGAATGTGGTAGAGAGGGTGAGAGAGGGACATAATGAGGGAAAGAATCAGGTAGGAAGAGATCAGAGGGAGTATGACAGGGTAGAGAGAGTATGTTTGGGTGGAGGTGTGGCGAAGAGAGGGTGTGAGAATGTGTCACGTTGAGAGAGAAAAAGAGGGGAAAGGAGTATGAAAGGACAGCGAGAAAGAGTGGGGGGGCGCGGAGAGTCTTAGTGTACAGGGAGAGTTTGCACATCCAAGCGATTCATATATCAAAGCCATTATATTGATCCCATTAACATATTGCAGTAAAATTTGCTAACCCGTAGCAAGTACTAATTTCATATGATGAAGTCTAGCAGTTTAATTTTGTGTAAGCTTTCTAATCTTTTATTAAATTTTACAACTTAAAATGAAATGTTTATCAGTTCATATTTCACCGCACGGTCACAAATTAAGTAACCTTACCATTGGCGAAAATCATCCTAAAAACAGCTCTCAGCGAGAACGCTGGATCAACCTGATTGACTTAAAACTTAACTGAAATAAGCTAATTAACTTAATTAATTTAATTGATTGACCTACTCAGGTTGGAAGAGGTGACAATGACGTGGCAGATGTTACGTGAGGAGTGTGACATGTGGGACCTGATGGAGGGCAGTCTGAGCCGGGTGACCACATCTGCAGAAGATGTCTGCAACTGAGGCCGCTGCAGCTCAGAGTGGCTGAGCTGGAATCCGAGGTTCAGACACTGTGGAGCATCTGGGAGAGTGAGTGCTTCCTGGATACATACATCCTGGAGCCAGTCACTCCCCTGCGGGAATATTCACTCAAATTGATTATGATCAGGAGAGGTCAATGGACAATCAGGAGGCAAATATGAGATCCTTGGAAATTGTATCGACAAGGAAGCCGTTGAGGTTGAACGAAATCTGCCTATAACACTGGGGCAAAAGAGTGGATGGTTACCGTCATTGGGGACCAGAGCATTAGGCAGAAAGACACAATCATTTGCAACACCAACCAGAAAACCAGAAGGCTTTGTTGCATCCCTGGGGCCGTGGTGAAGGATGTCTCGGCAGGGCTCGAGGATAATTGAAAATATTAGGGAAAGGATCCGTTCATGGTCCTTCACATGGGTACCAATGACATCGGAAGAGTTGGCCAAGATGACTTGAGGAGAATTTGAAGATTTGGGGTTCAAATTGAAGTCGAGATCATCGAAGTTGATGGTATCGGGACTACTGCCTTTACCGTACGACAATTGGTACAGGAACAAACAAATTAAGGACTTGAACGCATGGCTAAAACAGTGGTGCGGAAGTCAAGGGTTTCCTTTTTGGGGCCATTGGTACGAATATTGGGGGAAAGAGAACTCTTTCGTAGGAAAGAGCTGCATTGAAATCGTACAAATGTCCCAGCTAACCGAATTTATTATTATTATTATTAACAGCAAAATAAATAGGAATTTTAACTCATAAAGGGGACGCATATATAGGTAAGTTAGCATTAGAAAAAGTAAAGATGACATTGCAGGCTAGCATGCCAGATAATAGGAATATGTTAACGAGGGGTAAGAAGCTTTGGCAAAGTAGACAAGGAATCATAGAGTAGAGCAAATGATAGGAAATTAAAAAACGTTTTTTCTGAACGCAACAAGAATTCGGAGTAAAACTGATGAACTAAAAGCACAGATAGACACAGATGGGTTCGATCCAGCAGCCACCACTCAAACATGGTTACAAGGAGATGTAGGGTGGGAGTTAATATTCAAGGGTTCTTAGTTTACAGGAAAGATAGCACTGTGCAAAAAGAGGTGGGGTGGGGAGGGTAGCGCTGTTAATCAGGGATAAAATAAAAGCAGTGGGTAGGAAGGATATAAAATCTGATGACGAGGAGATCGAGACAATATGGGTGGAAACAAAAAATAATACATGGCAGAAAAGAAAAATGGGAGTGGTTTATAGACCCCCAAACAGCGATCACAATATAGCACATGGTATCAATCAAGAAATCAGTGGAGAGTGAAGGAAAGGTAAAGCGATAATAGTGGGTGGTTCTATATCCACATAGATTGGGAAAACCAAATCGGCAAAAGTAGTTCACAAGAAGAGTTCATTGAGTGTATGAGACAAAACGTTTTAAAGCAGCATTCCGAGGAACCACCTAGTGAAAAGTCCATCCTAGAACTTGTTTTGTGTAACGAATAAGGGCTGTTTAGCAGTGTAGGTATTAATATGCTTCAGGGCACAGTGATCACAATATGATTGAATTCCGCATTAAGCTGGAAAAGGATATATTTGAATCCGAGGCAAGTATTCTGAATTTAAATAGGGCTAATTTTGTAGGTATGAGGAAAGTTTTAGTTAAAATAGACTGGAGAATAAGATTAAAAGGTAAAAATGTAGACAACAGTGGCAAATATTTAAGGATGTGGTGCAAAATTCTCAGTGGTCGCATGTTCACTTGCGGACGAAGAGTACCACGGGAAAGCAATTCATCCGTGGCTTACTAGAGCAGTAGGGAAAGCATCAAATAAAAAGTAAAGGCTGATAAAACTGCCATGAAAAGCAGCAAATCTGAAGATTGGGAGAGTTTTAGAAACCAGCAAAATAAAACTAAAAACTCATTAAGAGCGAGAAAAAGGAGTATGAGGGTGAGCTCGCTGGGAACATTCAGTCTGATTGCAAAAGTTTTTACAAATATATTAGCAGAAATAGGCGAGGGAGTGCAAATGTAGTTACTCTTCAGTCAGAGATGGGAGAAGTTGTAATTGGGGATAAGCACACGGCAGAATCCCTAAATGGGTACTTTGCATCTGTCTTCACCATAGAAGACAGAACAAGTCTGCCAACATTAGAGATGCACCAAAGTGTTAAGGACAGGAAGCAATTAAGGAAATATTCATAAGTAGAGAATTGATGCTACGGAAACAGTTAGCAATAGAAAGTGACAAATCTCCTGTTCCGGATGACTTGCATCCCTGGGTTTTAAAGCAGGAGCTTATGACATAGTGGAGACCTTGTGTCTGATCTTCCAAAAATCCTTGGATTCTGGAACAGTCCCGATGGATTGGAAGATCACAAATGTCAAATCACTATTTAAAAAAGGTGGAAAGGAAAAGATGGTGATCTTTTGGCCAGTTTGTCTCACATCAGTGATAGGAAAACATTTAGAATCATTGACTAAGGATGTGGTAGTGCTGTATTTAGGGGAGCACAATATAATTAGGCCAAGACAACATGGCTTTACAAAAGGGAAGTGATGTTTGACGAATCACATGGAGATTTTTGAGTTTATTTCCAATAAACTAGATAAGGGTGAATCATGTGGTCTAATTGGACTTCCAGAAGGCATTCGATAAGTTGCCACATTGTTTCCCCTGTTTGGGGATAATAAAACCAGGGATCACAACATTAAAATCGGAGGCCAGCCCTTTCGCACTAAGTTAAGGAAGAACTCCTTCACTCAAAGGTTGGTGAATGTATGGAACTTACTATCCCAATGGCCTGTTGACGCTTAGTGCTTGAACACATTTAAGACTGAGATAGATAGATTTCTTCTTGCAAAATGTATTAAGGGATATGTCGATAAGGCAGGGTTAAGTTATCAGATGGAGTAAGATTAGAAGATCAGCCATGATGGAATGGCGGGGCAGGCTCGAAGGGCCGGATGGCCTACTCCTGCTCCGACATGTTATGTTATATTAAGGCACGTTTAGTAAATGCAGGTAATTCTGTCCTTTGAGATCCTGGAGGAAATTGGTTTCTTTAGTCACAGTATCTGTCATGTCAAAATATGATCACATTGACAAAGGCTTTTCTTCCCAAATTTGGCCCAACCTTAAGAGGACGTCTGGATTTCCTCGAAGGTCCTCTTGTTGTGCACTTAATGATTCTTCACTGAGCTACGTCCCCGCCACCATCTGAGTACAGCTCAGAGATACCAATCAGGATAAGTGTCCTGTCAATTAATGTATATACAAAACTGAAATTTTGTTGACCAGGTTCTTCTTTCACCTGATGGCATTCTCTCACAGATTGTTCTTAGGCACTAATCAACACAATCCCACTGATGGTTGGTTGCTTCTCGGGGAGAAAAACAGCAGAATGACCCCTGCAATTGTGCATAAATGAATTGGAACTTTCCAGTTTTAAGTCACAATAACAATATGTTTGTATTAATATAGCTCACGCGGACGGGTCAAACCGGTCCACATAGCCGAAGAGGCTTTAAAACCCAATTGAATCCACAGAGAAGTATGGGTAACTATTGGGAACGAAATACTCAATCGGCCCTCTAGAAACAGAGACAGAGACTTGTTGACAAGGAAATAGATCCAAGTTGTAACGTCCCCGATATCAGAATTTTGGAGCACAGTGGCTGAAGTCATGTCCACCTGTGGTGGAGAGGATGTACGAGGGATGAATACAAGGCTGGAGATAGTCGAGCGGAGGCAGTGGGTGGTGGTGTTGGGTTGAAGAAATTGGATTCCTGCGAGAGCATGAAGTGACAACCAGCTTTGCATCTTGTCATCATACTGTGACAGTAACAGCAGAAGAACCAGGATTTTTTCATGTTCTGGTATTCAGGAAGGCACCGCTGGGATTTGAATCAAACATCGCCAGTTTACGAAACAGGCACTTTGCCACAAAAAAACATTGTTTGAACATTTAAACAGCGGCTTTCATTTGGAAGCACTTCTCAAAAACATTTATGTCACAAGACTGAAAGATGGCATTCTGCACAACAGTTGATTACGTGAGCTGCTGCTTTAGTTCATTTCATATGTTTTCATGTCCTATAAATCGAAAACATCATCAACGTTTTTGATAGATGGAAAATTCTTCCGTTAAAAAAGAGCTTGAGCTGTCTTTATTCAAAATAACCACAACTTAAACTCGGTATAGAAATTTTTAACTCGAACTTAAAATTTCAACGTGTCAGCCCATGACGTGGTATACATAATTGGAGGTTATAATTGTTGATGTTGGAAACTAAACTTATAAGATGAACTAAAGAACATTTTAAAGTAGCTCCAGTCGTGCAATAGTTTATTCCGCGGTATTTATATGACAATACTGTTTGGAGAAGTGACAAGGTTGTGAGGTCGATCCTCAGCAAGAGCAGTATTTCTCATTGGTTTCTTCCAGTTGCATCACTGGACCCAATGGTAGTCGCAGAGTAATTATTGTTGTGGATTTGTTACGGCCTTGGCCAGTGTGATGATCTACCAAACCCGACATTTGCCAATGTCATCAATTGGAACTGGCGAAATGGACGAATTGCCCGTCAGTCGATGGTGAAAGATTTTTTGCGTGAGATAAACAATCGACTGACCAAAGGAAGTGACATTATTTATTGAGGAACAATATATTGTGACGGAATATTTAAAGCCTCCAGAGATTTTTTTCTCGGTTGATCTCCATCTCCAGTTCTACTTCTGAGTTATCAGTTGAGAGAGAATATGAACACATTAATATTTATTTTCCCCTGCTGTTGATCATAAACCAGAAGCGAATAGCTAGGTATTTAAATGACAATACGCTTTGGTCCAATTGTGTCCAATTGGCCCTCAAATTTCCCCCCAAAATGTATAAAACTCGTTGATAGGAACCCGATAAGATTTTCATTGCTGAGTTGATAGTTGTAGTGTCATACGAATGAGCGCAAAAGCATGTGTTGTTGATAATACAGCAACTCTTGGCAATCATTTCTGAATCAACAATAATAGTTTATTTAGCCCATGGAGCAAACACAGTAAATGGATATTTAAGCACAATCTTCATCTCTTCTCTAAACTTGCTCTGCGTCACCACATAGATACACGTGTTTGTACAGGAGCTCAAAAATTGAAGCATAAAACCAACCTGTTGGATGGTGAAGCGGGTGTTAACGATTTTCTCTTCATAGTTGTAGTTCGAAATTGACCATTTTACCGAATAAACAACGTTTGTCATCCACAGAAGTACGAAACTTCCCGATACAGCGAAGAGCAAAACGATGGATTTTCTCCGTTTCCCCATCTCAGGATCATTGTGTTTATTAGCATTGCTGTCACCTCGGATTCTCCTCCGGGCTCTGTTGGCTATTAATATGTACCTGACCGTCACAGCGTTGATGAGGATAATGAGTACGGATACTATTATTGGATTGAACACACGGATCAACCATTCGTACGCTCTCCAATACGGTGAAGTGTGGTAACTGAGTTTCTGATTGCAATATTTTGGTTTCTTATCATCTGTGTCAAGGGGAACAAAAATAAAATAAACTGGAATGCCCTGCGCACAGCAGAGCAAACATACAGTTGCAATAACCAAACTCGCCGTTTTCACCGAACAATATCTGTTTTTTATTTTCTGACAACAAATGGCGACATAGCGATCGAAAGTAAAGGCGAGTGTTAACCAAACAGAACATCGAGTGACTGAAACCAGCAGAACGGTTCTGAAGCTGCACACATGAGCATAGTACAAGAAGCTAAAAATATAATAAATGTTATTGATGCGATTCAGTATCACATCAATGATGATAACCATGAGATCCGCCACTGCCATGGCCACCAGATAGAGAGTGACGACAGTAGAGAGACCACACCTTCCCCGGGACAGGATTAAAATCGCCAACGAGTTCACTGAAACAGAAAAAAATAATCGGTTATTAGCTGAGCAGGTTCGCACATCACAGCTTGAATCAGATTGATGATCACAAGTTCACAGCACATCTTGGGGCAAAGCGTACCTTCCTTTCCTTTCTTCATAGCATAAACCTTATTTTTGTTTGTGTTGTGCGTTTTTGTATATCTGTTACTTTCTCTGATGGCTCCACTAATGTTTTTTTTATTTCACTCTTTCTATCAGTTCTGCTTCTTGGAGTAATGTCATGCGACAGGTATCAGCCACCGGACGTGAATGAATCGGGATGAGGCTATTGCCAGCGCCGGGATACCATTCCTGGCGCCTTTCCGACATAGGGTTTTACGCCTTGAATCCCGAGATCCCAGGATTAAATTATTTCCTGAATTCTCATGCAAAAAAATCAACAATTTCTCATTTAAATTACTTTAATATGAAAAGTGCTTCTGGGTCAGAACAATGTGTAAGTACTCTTGACTCTGAGACGTACAACTCTATATCGAGTTGATGTAACCGATATCCAGCTTTAATGATTGTCTGTTGCGCACATTGACTGCACTGTTGGCCTTCAAAATGCACAGTAATTACATTTTACATTAAATAAAATCAGTTAATTAGCGATGTTCTGCTGATGTGAAATGAGATGATTACAATGGCCATTCCAGGAAAAAGGAAAAAGAACCATTTTAAGAAAACATTTCATGACAAATATGTTTTGCCTCCACAACAGGTTCTGAAGTTTGTAGGTTACCATGAAGCTCTGATAACTTACCTGGAACTCCAGTTAGTGCAATGATCGGGTAATAAATTGCTTCTATCTCATAGATTGCTGGAAAAGCCATGATGTGGCAGCAGCCAGTGTTTCGCTGGCGAAGAGAGCGACTCCAAATAACAGACTATGGCTTTGGGACACCGTGTAATTTATTCAGATGGCAAACCCCCGGGAATCATCCGACCTGCATCATTAGTCACGTCACTCTCAATCCCTGGATATTAATATAGGGAGGCGTCATCTCTGTTATTTAACAAAGATTGTAAGAAAACACATTTTATTTTAACTTCTGGCATTAAATATACCTGTTTTGAAAACGGATTTGATGAGGATATTCCGATTCGTATTACAGTCGATTTGGAAAAACAGTCATTCTCTGACATTGTTTTGATGGGATAGTGAAAGTCACAAAGTCACACATCATCCCTAACGGATGATTGTTCCAATCTCGACGCGCAGAGGAAGTTTTCCAGACAGAGCTCCAAATAGCAAACTGTTCGATTTTAGCTGTTGAGGCCACAGCATTTATCGCAATGCACAGTTCGAGGTCGCCAAACCCTGCGTCTCGCCTGCCTGACCCTTGTGCTCATTGTGATCAGGTATCAGAGACACTGCATATTCGTTAGAATCACAGAAATTTCCAAAGGTCGGAGGCATGAGAGGAACTCATCGTCTGGTGTGGCAACTCGTAACCATGGTGACGGTTTCCAACACAAATCTAGCCGTACCCCCCCACCCAGCCCCCCGTATCACCCATTCATAGGTTTCCATCCTCGGGCTCTGTAACTCACAGATACCTGTTACCAAGGTTTACTCACTCCAGGCCAGGCCTCTGCAGTTTAACCAGCTTCTGGAGTCACTGTCTGGCAAACTTCCTGCTGCTTTTTCCAACTGTAGCACCAGGGACAACGACAGGACCGAAGGCAGCCATTCGACTTCACGTGTCTGTGATGATCCTTCAAGTGTATTCCTATTAGTGCAATTTCCCCGTCCTTTTCCCCAGATGAGTCAATAGTTGATGTGACAATCCCAGTTCTGAGCTCCATAATTTCGTCAATAGAACAGTAGCGAATTAATCGCCCTCTACTCTCGATTTTTTTTCTCAGGGATGTACCCGTGGGAGGAGGACCACAAAACAGCAGCGTCACATGTGAGCAAGAGGTTTCCTTGGATTGAGCCCAGAGTTAACACAGCTGGTCACAAACAGGCCTGGTCAGCCTTGGGCCCGAGCACCACAGAAGCTCATCGCTGGCTTATGAGCCTCCCCCAAACCAGAGGCTCTCTGACGCTGTCTCCCGTCTTTTCTCTTATTCGATGCATCTCCTCTTATCTTCTCTTATTGTGTCTGTATGTCTTACTTGACATCGATATGTATTTCTGGAACTTTCCTTCTTTCTTGGTCTGCCTATGGTGTCTTTCTGTGTGTTTGTCGATGTGTGTGTCTGTCTGCATGACAGTCTGTGTCTGACGTTCAATCGATTCGTTCAAATTGAGCCGCTTCAAGTTTCTGTCATTCAGATGAGAGGATAAATCGAGGTCCCTTCTTCCTGTTCAGAAGGACGTTAAAGATCTCGGGTCGGTCTTCAAATCAGTGAATTTGGCTTCCCGGGCAACAGTCTCTCTCTGGCCAACAGTCCGCCAGAAAAATCGTTCACACACTCTGTGTGTGTGTGTGTGTGTGTGTGTGTGTGTGTGTGTGTTTGTGTGGATACTGGGCGCGGATGCCTCCTGTGATTCATTCACAAAATGCACAATAACTCATCTTAACCGTCAATGTTTTGAAACGCTTTCGGAGTTTTTGAAGTCGTGATGTGGTGTTAATTCAAGTGAAAAGATTAATAATGTAATGTAATGTTGGGTAATAATCATTGTCATGGACATTCATAATTATTCATTGCAATGATTGATATCTTTAGTAACATTACCAAATAGCGGTGAGTTGGTTGAAATGTGCTGATGTTAAATCCCATTTCGGTTTGTTCCAGATGCAACTGTGAGAATTGTTCCACGGCCGATGCCTCCAGCGGTGAGTAGTGTCGGCCTTATTGGCACTGTTTCCGCCAAATTCAGGTCCTCTGCAGCTCAGCTCATGCCCAGTTCCAGCTTAGCTCAGACCATGTGTCAGTTTCGCTCAGGCTTTAAGCAAATTGGCTCAACACAGCTCAGGCTCTGTGTCACTCTGGCTGGGCGGCAGCACTTTCGCCTGAGGTAGAAATTCATGGGCTTAACTCGAACGTCGGTACATTGGGAATATTGAGAAAGAGAAGGGGGAGTCTCCCATTTCCGAGCCGACAAAAAATGTTCGCCCACTGCACAAAAATAATAATAATCCTTACATTCGTCATGGATAACTTACATGAGGAGAATGTCTCAAATAGCTTCACATGACTTACTGCATAGAGAAGTGACTGTGTGTTTACAGGACGTTTCTGTGCACAATTTCTGCGTGAGATTCTGTGTGTGTTTCTGTATGTGTGTGTGTGTCTGTGCGCGCGCGCGCGTGCGAGTCTGCACGTCTGTGTCTGAGTGTTTAAATTTTGCATTCAAACAGCGCCATTCGTCTCAGAAGGAATTCTTACATGCAAGGTTTTATCACCACTATTGGCTCTGGTTTACTAACGAGGAGATTTGTCCGGGTTCAATTCTCCATTGCAGGAATGTTGACATCCGTATGACCATTGGGGCTGTTAGTGGAGGGTGGACTCACATTTTTGGGGCTGTGAGTCCGGGTGTCCTGTGTGGTGAGGTTGTGGTGACGGGGATTTTCCACTGATCTTCAGCAGATGTGCTGATTCTTGATCTATTTGCAGGATGCTGGTATCATCTATGCCAATCTGGCCTTAGGAAACAGGAATGAGCAGGACGGTGAAGCCAGTGATGGAGATGGTCCTGTCTACGCCACAGTCAGAGTTTAGTGTGGAGGCCAATGACCACGACTTGATTTATTTCCTCGCTCTATCAGCTCACCATCCACTATATTCAATTTCACCTTCATTCTGACATCAACGGGGCTCTTACATCACATCTCACGCTAACCCACATAGAGACTGAGTTACAGACTGAGGAATAAGGAGCGAGGGAGTGAATGCGTAAGAGTGAGAGAGTTTGTGAGAGAGAAAGATAAAGGGAGACCGAATGAGAGACAGAGAGACTGAATATGTGAGATGGAGTGAGAGATTGAGGGAGGTACTGAGACTGGGAGAGCAAAGGAGAGGGACTGAGAGAGAGATTGTGATTGAATGCGACTGAGCGATTAAATGAGAATGAGTGAGATACGGAACGAGAGAGAGTACGATAGAGAGAGACAGAGAAAGATTGATTGCAAGAACGTCTGATTGCGAGAGAAATTGTGTTAGTGTGAGTGAAAGACTGAGTTAGATAGACTGAGTCAGATGGAAATAAAGAGTGAGATTCTGTGTGTGAGAGGTCGAGAGATTGATTGACGGAGAGTCAGGGTGTGTGAGAGAGAGAATAAACAAGATGTGTTGAGGGTGAATGCTGGAATGAGAAATGTTACTGCGTAATTGAGAGGGTAATTTAGAGGGGAGAGCACGGATAGATTGATACAGGGAGAGTGGGAGAGGGCAGATAAACAGTGCGTACGGGAAAGAGGGGCGAGTGAGTCACAGAAAGAGGGAAACAGGGGTAGGGAGACAGAAATTGAGACGGCGAGAGTGAGATCGTGATTGAGAGATAGAATGTGGTAGAGAGGGTGAGAGAGGGACATAATGAGGGAAAGAATCATGTAGGAAAAGATCAGAGGGAGTATGACAAGGGAGAGAGAGTATGTTTGGGTGGAGGTGCGGCGAAGAGAGGGTGTGAGAATGTGTAACGTTGAGAGAGAAAAAGAGGGGAAAGGAGTATGAAAGGACAGCGAGAAAGAGTGGGGGGCGCGGAGAGTCTTAGTGTACAGGGAGAGTTTGCACATCCAAGCGATTCATATATCAAAGCCATTATATTGATCCCATTAACATATTGCAGTAAAATTTGCTAACCCGTAGCAAGTATTAATTTCATATGATGAACTCTAGCAGTTACATTTTGTGTAAGCTTTCTAATCTTTTATAAAATTTTACAACTTAAAATGAAATGTTTATCAGTTCATATTTCACCGGACGGTCACAAATTAAGTAACCTTACCATTGGCGAAAATCATCCTAAAAACAGCTCTCAGCGAGAACGCTGGATCAACCTGATTGACTTAAAACTTAACTGACTTAAGCTAATTAACTTAATTAATTTAATTGATTGACGTACTCAGGTTGGAATAGGCGACAATGACGTGGCAGATGTTACCTGAGGAGTGTGACATGTGGGACCTGATGGAGGGCAGTCTGAGGCCGGGTGACCACATCTGCAGAAGATGTCTGCAACTGAGGTCGCTGCAGCTCAGAGTGGCTGAGCTGGAATCCGAGGTTCAGACACTGTGGAGCATCTGGGAGAGTGAGTGCTTCCTGGATACATACATCCTGGAGCCAGTCACTCCCCTGCGGGAATATTCACTCAAATTGATTATGATCAGGAGAGGTCAATGGACAATCAGGAGGCAAATATGAGATCCTTGGAAATTGTATCGACAAGGAAGCCGTTGAGGTTGAACGAAATCTGCCTACAACACTGGGGCAAAAGAGTGGATGGTTACCGTCATTGGGGACCAGAGCATTAGGCAGAAAGACACAATCATTTGCAACACCAACCAGAAAACCAGAAGGCTTTGTTGCATCCCTGGGGCTGTGGTGAAGGATGTCTCGGCAGGGCTCGAGGATAATTGAAAATATTAGGGAAAGGATCCGTTCATGGTCCTTCACATGGGTACCAATGACATCGGAAGAGTTGGCCAAGATGACTTGAGGAGAATTTGAAGATTTGGGGTTCAAATTGAAGTCGAGATCATCGAAGTTGATGGTATCGGGACTACTGCCTTTACCGTACGACAATTGGTACAAGAACAAACAAATTAAGGACTTGAACGCATGGCTAAAACAGTGGTGCGGAAGTCAATGGTTTCCTTTTTGGGGCCATTGGTACGAATATTGGGGGAAAGAGAACTCTTTCGTAGGAAAGAGCTGCATTGAAATCGTACAAATGTCCCAGCTAACCGAATTTATTATTATTATTATTAACAGCAAAATAAATAGGAATTTTAACTCATTAAGGGGACGTATATATAGGTAAGTTAGCATTAGAAAAAGTAAAGATGACATTGCAGGCTAGCATGCCAGATAATAGGAATATGTTAACGAGGGGTAAGAAGCTTTGGCAAAGTAGACAAGGAATCATAGAGTAGAGCAAATGATAGGAAATTAAAAAACGTTTTTTCTGAACGCACCAAGAATTCGGAGTAAAACTGATGAACTAAAAGCACAGATAGACACAGATGGGTTCGATCCAGCAGCCATCACTGACACATGGTTACAAGGAGATGTAGGGTGGGAGTTAATATTCAAGGGTTCTTAGTTTACAGGAAAGATAGCACTGTGCAAAAAGAGGTGGGGTGGGGAGGGTAGCGCTGTTAATCAGGGATAAAATAAAAGCAGTGTGTAGGAAGGATATAAAATCTGATGACGAGGAGATCGAGACAATATGGGTGGAAACAAAAAATAATACATGGCAGAAAAGAAAAATGGGAGTGGTTTATAGACCCCCAACCAGCGATCACAATATAGCACATGGTATCAATCAAGAAATCAGTGGAGAGTGAAGGAAAGGTAAAGCGATAATAGCGGGTGGTTCTATATCCACATAGATTGGGAAAACCAAATCGGCAAAAGTAGTTCACAAGAAGAGTTCATTGAGTGTATGAGACATAACGTTTTAAAGCAGCATTCCGAGGAACCACCTAGTGAAAAGTCCATCCTAGAACTTGTTTTGTGTAACGAATAAGGGCTGTTTAGCAGTGTAGGTATTAATATGCTTCAGGGCACAGTGATCACAATATGATTGAATTCCGCATTAAGCTGGAAAAGGATATATTTGAATCCGAGGGAAGTATTCTGAATTTAAATAGGGCTAATTTTGTAGGTATGAGGAAAGTTTTAGTTAAAATAGACTGGAGAATAAGATTAAAAGGTAAAAATGTAGACAACAGTGGCAAATATTTAAGGATGTGGTGCAAAATTCTCAGTGGTCGCATGTTCACTTGCGGACGAAGAGTACCACGGGAAAGCAATTCATCCGTGGCTTACTACAGCAGTAGGGAAAGCATCAAATAAAAAGTAAAGGCTGATAAAACTGCCATGAAAAGCAGCAAATCTGAAGATTGGGAGAGTTTTAGAAACCAGCAAAATAAAACTAAAAACTCATTGAGAGCGAGAAAAAGGAGTATGAGGGTGAGCTCGCTGGGAACATTCAGTCTGATTGCAAAAGTTTTTACAAATATATTAGCAGAAATAGGCGAGGGGGTGCAAATGTAGTTACTCTTCAGTCAGAGTCGGGAGAAGTTGTAATTGGGGATAAGCACACGGCAGAATCCCTAAATGGGTACTTTGCATCTGTCTTCACCATAGAAGACAGAACAAGTCTGCCAACATTAGAGATGCACTAAAGTGTTAAGGACAGGAAGCAATTAAGGAAATATTCATAAGTAGAGAATTGATGCTACGGAAACAGTTAGCAATAGAAAGTGACAAATCTCCTGTTCCGGATGACTTGCATCCCTGGGTTTTAAAGCAGGAGCTTATGACATAGTGGAGACCTTGTGTCTGATCTTCCAAAAATCCTTGGATTCTGGAACAGTCCCGATGGATTGGAAGATCACAAATGTCAAATCACTATTTAAAAAAGGTGGAAAGGAAAAGATGGTGATCTTTTGGCCAGTTTGTCTCACATCAGTGATAGGAAAACATTTAGAATCATTGACTAAGGATGTGGTAGTGCTGTATTTAGGGGAGCACAATATAATTAGGCCAAGACAACATGGCTTTACAAAAGGGAAGTGATGTTTGACGAATCACATGGAGATTTTTGAGTTTATTTCCAATAAACTAGATATGGGTGAATCATGTGGTCTAATTGGACTTCCAGAAGGCATTCGATAAGTTGCCACATTGTTTCCCCTATTTGGGGATAATAAAACCAGGGATCACAACATTAAAATCGGAGGCCAGCCCTTTCGCACTAAGTTAAGGAAGAACTCCTTCACTCAAAGGTTGGTGAAATGGCCTGTTGACGCTTAGTGCTTGAACACATTTAAGACTGAGATAGATAGATTTCTTCTTGCAAAAGGTATTAAGGGTTATGGCGATAAGGCAGGGTTAAGTTATCAGATGGAGTAAGATTAGAAGATCAGCCATGATGGAATGGCGGGGCAGGCTCGAAGGGCCGGATGGCCTACTCCTGCTCCGACATGTTATGTTATATTAAGGCACGTTTAGTAAATGCAGGTAATTCTGTCCTTTGTGATCCTGGAGGAAATTGGTTTCTTTAGTCACAGTATCTGTCATGTCAAAATATGATCACATTGACAAAGTCTTTTCTTCCCAAATTTGGCCCAACCTCAAGAGGACGTCTGGATTTCCTCGAAGGTCCTCTTGTTGTGCACTTAATGATTCTTCACTGAGCTACGTCCCCGCCACCATCTGAGTACAGCTCAGAGATACCAATCAGGATAAGTGTCCTGTCAATTAATGTATATACAAAACTGAAATTTTGTTGACCAGGTTCTTCTTTCACCTGATGGCATTCTCTCACAGATTGTTCTTAGGCACTTATCAACACAATCCCACTGATGGTTGGTTGCTTCTCGGGGAGAAAAACAGCAGAATGACCCCTGCAATTGTGCATAAATGAATTGGAAAATTCCTATTTTAAGTCACAATAACAATATGTTTGTATTAATATAGCTCACGTGGACGGGTCAAACCGGTCCACATAGCCGAAGACGAAATGACGAAATCCTCAATCGGCCCTCTAGAAACAGAGACAGAGATTTGTTGACAAGGAAATAGATCCAACTTGTAACGTCCCCGATATCAGAATTTCGGAGCACAGTGGCTGAAGTCATGTCCACCTGTGGTGGAGCGGATGTACGAGGGATGAATACAAGGCTGGAGATAGTCGAGCGGAGGCAGTGGGTGGTGGAGTTGGGTTGAACAAATTGGATTCCTGCGAGAGCATGAAGTGAAAACCAGCTTTGCGTCTTGTCATCATACTCTGACAATAACAGCTGAAGAACCAGGAATTTTCATGTCCTGTTATTCAGGAAGGCACCGCTGGTGTTTGAATCAAACATCGCCAGTTTACGGCGGAGGCGCTTTGCCACAAGAAACATTTTTTCGAACATCTAAATAACCGTTTTCATTTGGAAGCACTTCTGAAAAATGTTTATGTCACAAGACTGAAAGATGGCATTCTGCACAACAGTTTATTACGTGAGCTGCTGCTTTATTTCATTTCATATGTTTTCATGTCCTATAAATCGAATACATCATCAATGTTTTTGAGATGTGGAAAATTCTACCTTTAAAAAAAAGCTGTCTTTATTCAAAATGACCACAACTTAAACTCGGTATAGAAAATTTTAACTCGAACTTAAAATTTCAACGTGTCAGCCCATGACGTGGTATACATCATTGGAGGTTATAATTGTTGATGTTGGAAACTAAACTTATAAGATGAACTAAAGGACATTTTAAAGTAGCTCCAGTCGTGCAATAGTTTATTCCGCGGTATTTATATGACAATACTGTTTGGAGAAGTGACAAGGTTGTGAGGTCGATCCTCAGCAACAGCAGTATTTTTCATTGGTTTCTTCCAGTTGCATCACTGGACCCAATGGTAGTCGCAGAGTAATTATTGTTGTGGATTTGTTACGGCCTTGGCCAGTGTGATGATCTACCAAACCCGACATTT